GGAGGAGCGCGGACACTCTTTCGGGGCTAGAAAGATAAAGGCCTTGGGGCCAGAGAAGATCTTGAGCCGGAGAAGGTTCCGGACCTCTCCGGAAGAGAGCTGAAGGCCCCAGCGCCGGGCCTGGGCGGACACCGACCTCGAGGGGCGTGGGCCCCGGCGGGGCGGGGCGGGGCGGGGCCAGCCGGCGGACCCAGACGTGGCGCAGCGGCCAGGCGGCTCGCCTCCTGCTCGCCGATCGTCTGCACCTCGGGCCCGATGCGCCTCCCGCTGCCTCCGCCGCCCCTGCTGCTGCTCCTCGCGGCACTCGCGGCCGCCGTCACCACCTTTCGGCCCGACTGGAACCGTCTGCACGGCCTGGCCCGCGCTCGGGTAGAGGTGAGTGCGCTGGTCCCTGGCTCAAGGACCCCTGCCCCAACCCTGTGGCCTCTTAGCTTTGGCATCACCGCTCACTTTGGCCCCGGGACCCTCCCGACTCCCACGTCCTTCTCCGGGCCGGGACCATCCCTCCCGCTCCCCAATCTCAGTACGCCCCAGCACCCACCGTGGAAGCCCGAGACACCACCGTTCTTGCGGCCTGGAAGCCTGAACTCCTCCCTAGTTTCCCATCCGGCTGGACAGCGGGCCCCCCAGACACGTTGGCCCTGTCCTTTAACTCTATACTCCTGGCCTGAGACTCTTCCAAAGCTGCCCCCTGGAGCCTAACTTTACATCCTCCCATCACTTCACTTTTTCCTGGAATTCCTCCCCCACCCCAGTTCCGGTTGGTCTCTCCCTTGCGGTCGGAGGGAAGACTTTCTGGGCGCTTGCCCCACCATGCAAAAGCCAACTGCATTACTAACACTCGCAGCAGGTCCGCATCCTCCTCTGTGGGAGAGTTACCCGTCAGAGTTCTCGTTTGGTTGTGTGACTTGAATCATCACAGATCCTCTATGGGCCTTAGTTTTGTCTGCCTGAAGGACGGGGAGGAGGCGAGGAGGACGAGAATAGGTGGCCCTGGAGTCTGGACTTCTACTGGGAGGTGCCCTTCCCCTCTGGGAATGCCGGGATGGGCCCACACACCCTCCCATGTTGGGGAAGCCACCAGATGGAAGCCCAGCTCTGCATGGGGCTAGGTAGGGACCAGATGGCAGGTATCTAACAGGGTCTCCACGGGCAATTATGAGCTGTTCTCTTCTGGCCTGCCTCCACCTTGAGGTTCTAGGGGCCAAAGTTCAGGCCCAGATCCTTACTGCCTGAGAGAAGTAGAATAATCATTTTTTTTGGGGGGGGGGGGTAGGCATTGGGAGTAAGTCAACAGTCAGTAAGGTAGGCAGGCAAGAGCCCCAAGGCTGGTAAGTGCCTTTTAGGTCTTGCTCCTCTTTTCCCTGATCTCTGTAGGCCTCAGTTTTCCTATCTGTACAGAGTTCCCCCTTCTGCTCATAAGGGACCTCCATCTCCACACCTTGGGGACTGCTGTTCCAGGGGTAATTCACAGCCCCACCAAACTCTGGGAGGAGGGTGAAGTGGTCTTGAGAGTGTGGTTGGGCAGGTATGAAGGACTCCTGACCTACCCAATTTGTCCCCCTCCAGACCTGTGGGGGATGACAGCTGAATCGCCTAAAGGAGGTAAGTTTTGTATTGTTGTTTTTTTTTTGTTTTTTTAAAAGAGGGAGGTTGAGGGTAGGGGTGGGCAGAAGGAGAGGGGGAGAGAGTCTCAAGCAGGCTCCACACCCCGCTTAGAGCCTCACAACCCTGAGATCATGACTTGATCCGACATCAAGAGTTACTTAACAGACTGAGTGACCCAGGCACCTCTGAAGGAGTAAGTTTGAAGGGGTCTCCAGCTCTGTCCCCACTGAGCCTCTTGGAGGATGAGTAACAGAGTCCTACAGACTCTGTCAAGAGTGTGCGGCCTCAGCAGGCTTCAGTTTCTCGTTGGTATCTGGAGGGAGTTGGGGTCTGATGCTCTGGTTCTTCCCCAGGTGAAGGCCTTTGTCACCCAGGACATCCCTTTATAGTATCCTTTTTCTGTTCTAGGGGAGGAAGAAGGGGTGGGGGATCTGGGAAAATCTCCTTCCACTTAACTTCACAGATAGAGATGACATGACACGTGGTTTTCATCTGGCAAGTGGAACTGATTGATAGTGACCGCCCAGAGAATTCTTAGGTGGTAGGCCTGAGAAATTGACTAGTGATGACTGCCACAGACACAGGAACTCCAACTTCCTCGAGTGTATATGGGGATCCCTGCCCTACCTGGGCAAAAGGGGCGGTGCTGTTCACCTGCTGTACATAGGTGGGAGACCCCACCTGCCTCAGGCCACCACTATCCACCTTAACAACAACTCCAGTCACAACCTGGTAATGAAACACCTCCCAGGGGCTGACCCAGAGCTCGTCCTCCTGGGCCACCACTACGAAGAACTGGAGGTGAGGCCTTGGAAGCCAGGCCGTGGTGTGGGTGGAGGTGGGGGGGGGCGGGAGGGGGGCGAGGCGAGGCGGGGCGTGCTGACCCCACCCCTCCTCTACTTCAGCGAATCCCACTCAGCGAGATGACCCGGGAGGAGATCAATGAGCTGGTGCAGGAGCTGGGCTTCTACCGCAAGGCGGCGCCCGACGAATCTGTTCCCCCCGAGTACTTGCGGGCGCCCGCCAGGCCCGCAGAAGGCGCTCCGGACCGCGCTGATCTTTAAGGTCCGGGGACGCGGGCCCGCCTCCTCCCCCCCTGAGCTCTGGCGACAGAATGAAGCGCTCAGCGTCCCGGGAGCGTCTCCCTCGCTGAGGGCCGATGCCTCGTCCCAGAGCCGGCAGAGATGGAGGTGGGGGTTCTTCTTAACCCCTCTTTCTCCCATACCCAGCTCGATTAAATAAATCCTCTTCCGCCTTAACTGAGACTCGACTCCTTCCTTGCTACGGGAGGGTGGGGAACAGGAGCCCCCCCCCCATATGCCCGAGAGACCAGCATCCCCAAGTGCTTAGCCGCTGGAGTGGCTTTTTTTGCACACCTTGCCAAGCTGCCCCCCCCATTCGACACCCCGCAGAGGTAGAGAGGAGTCAGGATCGTTGAAAACCAATAATTTATCAAAACGCAGCGTGTGTATGCAGGGGAGGGTGTCGCGACAGACAGGGCAGCAGTGGGCAGGCGCACAGGGAGGGGATGGTGCCTGGATGGTGGGTGCAGCTTGCCGCAGGCGGGCCGTGCGCGCAGGGAGGCTACACATTCTTCCCGCGCAGGCGCAGCTCGTGGCGCCGCAGGTGGTTGTAGAGCGACTGCACATAGGTGAAGACGCACTTGGGGTCGGGCTTCTTGCCCATGATCATCATGTCCTCCACCTCCACCAGGGGCACGCAGTCCACCAGCATCCTGCAGGAAGGGGGTACCGGGGTGGCTGTCAGCACCGAGCCCGCCTCCTGCAGCTACCCTCTCCCCGGAAGTCTTTTCACTGCTGGCAGCCTGCTGATCTTCCATAAACTCCAGATTCTTGATTGACTGACGGGGTAAAAGCCTTCCGGAAAGACAGGAAACCCCAGGCTCCACTCACCCAAGCCTAGAAACGTCACTATGGGGAGCCAGTCCTGGCAAGTGGAGGTCAAGATGGGAGAGGAGAGCCATGCCCCCCATTCCACTCTGGACAAGGTCCAGACTCCAGACCCCACCCATGTTCTCTTTGGAGGACTACCTCCTGCACACCCTCACTGCAGACTCCTGCTGGCAGGAGCCTCTGGGTTGGGCCATTGGATCCAGAGGGGCCTTACCAATGGGAAATCTTGCTCTGCAGCCAGGACCTGCCCCAGTGAACATCTGTGCCCTGGATTATCTCCCAGATGCCTGGCCTGGTACCTCCTGCAGAGAGGCCCAGGGGACAATCCTGCTACGTGAGATGGAGGACAGAGAGTGTGTGTGTGGGTATGTGTGTGTGTGGGTAGTTCTTTAACCCTTACCACCTGCTTTGGGTAGAGCAGGGGAGGCAGATGAGGGTCTCAACCAATGCAGACAGGCTCATCTACAACATGCTCAAGGATGGGGCTGCCCTTCTGTCCTCCAGAGTGCTAGATGTACTTTACAGAGAGGGAAACTGAGTCACAGAGCAGGAATCATGTTTCAAGCCCCATAGCCTAGCAGGTGCAGGGTTGGGCCTCCTGTGACTCAAGCACCCTAGCCCCGGGTGTTGATACCCACCTAGAGCCCCATCTTCCCTACTGCAGGGGCCATCTCCCCACTCTGGGGTGAATGGGCTGCGGCCTACTAAGCAATTGATAGTCCCAGAGCTCTAAAGCTGAAGTTTGCTCCTTGGCTCCATTTCCCCCTCCTGTCCCAAAGCAAGACCTCTTCTGCCTTGCTTCCTCCCATCAGTCCATGTTAACTGAATTCCTTTGGCAGGGAAGGTGTAAGGGCATGAATTGCTCCTATTGCCAACACACCAAGGGACCCACGACTACCTCCTCCCATCTTGTGCCTTCGAGGTCAAACCTGGGACAATGGTAGGGTTGGGGCCTACTCCCAGCTCACCTGGACTCCTTCATGGAAGAAGCTTGGGAGGCAGGAGATCTCTGTTTCAGCCCAGGCTAAACCCGTGATCAGCTGTATGTACTAGATAAAGCTCTCCCCTGTTCTGTGACTTAGTTTCTCCATCTTTAAAACAACAAATTCTCTGCCTCATTTGAGACCTTGGGAGCACTTAGGATGAATGAGGGAGTTTCTGACTCTGTTGCTGATGTGCTATGTGTCCCTGAGGTCATCTCTGGATTAATTTCCCCAGCTATACTATGGTGAAAAAGGCAGCCTCTCTCTGCAGCTTCTTCAAGTTGTGGCTATCTCCCCAGGGATCCTGGGCTCCCCAACGTGGAACTCCCTCCCATCTCTGGTGTCTTCCCTAGAGACCTTATAAAGCCATTGTTTACACTGGGGCTCACAGCTCAGGGCTCCAGCTGCCCCAGTGACAGGCCAAACACAGGGCAATTCGAGCAACAGCACGGCTGAGTCACACTTTCCAACTGGATCAGGGCCCCTCTCCCTCCAGGCCAGCCTGCTGGGCAGCAGCTCCTAAGTCCATATATGACCTGGAGACAGAACCAAGCCCATCCTCCTCTCACCTGTATGGCTTCTCTGGATATATGTGTACACATGTGGGCTGCCCACCATGTGGCTCCAAGCCCCAAGGGGCATCCGAATGCACCACTAGCTCTGTCCCTGATTCACATTACTTTGGGCAATCCCCTTATACCCTCTGAGCTCTTGTCTTTTCTTCTCTCTACACAATGGGTGGGAAAAGTGATGCGGTAAGGAATAGAGCCACTATGTGGGGAGCCTGGAATTCTAGTTTCTGGCCCTGTCTCTGACCTAAAACCTCCAGGACGCTGAGCCACCTTTCTCCTACTCTGAGCAGCATTGTCTGGAATGGACAGTTAGCTCAGGACCTGAATTCTCTACTGTGGCCCTGAGGTGAGGTGACTAGAGAGAAAATGCCAGAGCTGGTTTAAAGATCCAGAAACATCTTCCTGTTAAACTGGCCCTGCTCTTGAGCTCTCCAATGAGTGTGATACCACCAATTCCCCAGTGCCCAAACCAGAGGCCTAGCAGACTTCCTTAAGCCTCCTTCTTTCTCCCCAACTGGATACATCAGGAAGCCTGTCCTACTTCTTATTAAGCTGCTCCAGCTATCTAGCCCATTCCTTCCCTCCTCATCCCTCATCCGATCCTTGTTCTAGAATGCTAACCGGACAACACATATTCCTTCTCTGTTTGGAAATCTTTTAGGACTCTTGTCCTCAGGAGAAAGTTCAAACTCCTGTGGCCCCTTTCTTCCCTTCATACCCAGACTAAACTTTTTTCCCTTGCTGGCTGTGCCATGCTCTCCATCTCTCTCGCCTGTAGCCATGTGCATAGGCTCATCCGTCCACCTGGGACTCCTTTTCCCTCCTTTAGCCTGAACTTGCTCAAATCCCAGCTAGGTTTGCACTTTTTTCAGACAGCTGTCCTGGACCTGCAGGCCGTGTCAGATGCCTCCTCTGGGGTTCCTTCCTGGGCTTGCTCCATCTCAGGCCTGCTCATGTAGGGTCATCACATGAGCAGGACCCTTTAGAAGAATGGTCTTGCTTGCTAGGCCCTGAACTACCAGAGGTGGGGCCACATCTGGCTCCTTCTGGTTCTTCTCAGGGTCCCATTGCGCCCCCCACCCCCTCCCAGGTCTCTCTCTGTGCCCCTCTGGTCAGATTCCAGCATACAGCGCAGGTGGGCGAGGCGGCGTTTCTCACCGTGGGGCCCCTGAGCAGGGGTTAGGACTTTTTGGTTTTTACCAGCCCCTTCTGGACCAGACAGCGGTAGAATTCCTGGATGTACGTGTACACGCACTTCCAGTCAGGCTCTCGAAGCCGCACCATGTCCTCTGTGTCCAGGAGCTGCGGGCAGTCCGCATGGGTCCTGGGGAGGGTAGGGGGCCGGGAAGGGGCAGGGAAGCAGGGCCCAGGAGGGGAAGAGGGGGAAGAGGCAGAGAAGAGAAAGGGGAGGAGAACAGAGAGACACACACATACACACACACACAGAGACAAGAGTTCAGTTACATTCTCAGTGCTGCAATCTGCCGGCCCTCCCCGCATGCCCCTTCCCCATCGTGGACGTGCCGCTCACTACCCGTCACTAATGGTGTGCGATGCAGACAGGGGTGGGGGGCCAGACCAGTCACAGGTGCAGAGAACTCTTGGGGCAAGCGGGAACGGGGTGGGGGCAATGGCGTTGGCACTGAGGTTGGAGAGGAGGGCTGTGCCCCAGGGAGGGGGGGTGAGGGAGGCGTGAGAGGAGGTGGGGGAGGGGGAGGAGGAAGAAATCTGGGGGGACCAGAAAGAGAAAAGGAGAAAAGGAAAGACAGATGGAGGGTGCTGAGGGTGAGGTGAGCAGACGGGGTAACGATTCCAAAGTGGAGGGCTTGCTGATGTCCTATATAAGCCTCTGGCAACACCTATATAGGCTGGGCAGGCACGGTGCCCGGGCCAGGAGCCTCCTTTTGGAATCTCCAGCCGGGATCCCGTGGGAGCAGGAAGCTCTGATGATAGGGAGGAGAGCAGGACAGAGAAAGGCAGAGAGAAAGAGAGAGAGAGAGAGAGGAGGGAGGAGGGGGCAGAGGGAGGATGGAGGATATGGACAGGGCCACCTGGTGGGCCTTGGCCCGGGCTGGTAGGCGGGCGGGCGGCTCCTTCGTTCCGGCGGGCACCTGGCACGCTCAGCAGCGGGTGGGCAGGGTGGAGAGGACAGGGGCTTTCTCGGGAAGGGGGTATCAGCCGCTGTCTGACAATGCAGCTGGCCAGTTCCAGGGGCCTTGGGGCAGCTGAGCCTGGCCCAGACGCACAGCCCCAGATGCCCAGCTGACGGCAGCTGGACTGGGGCCCACACTTACTCAGCAGATGAGAAGGCCACCTCGAAGTTCTGACGCCGGTTCTGCGGGCTGAGCTGCCCATAGTCGAAGGCCTCAGGGAAGAAGTTATGCACCAGGGCACAGAAGGCCATCCCATCACTCCAACTTGAAGAGAAGTTCTGGATGTCCACGTGCTATGTATAGGTGGTGGGAGGACTGGTCAGCTTCCCCATAACTGCTATGCCCCCAGCATTTGACATTCCAAGAGTTGGGCAACTGGGGTCAGAGAGGCCCTGTAGCTCGTCCAAGGCTGCACAGCAGTTGGGCAGTGGTAACATGAACGTCCTTCAATTCAGTTTGTCAGCTCCATATCTGCTACTTATGGGCACAGAGCAACCAGGAGGACCAGCTCCACCCAGCTAAGACCATGGTCATGCCTCTTTCACTGCTTCCCTTACTTATAGAAATTTACCCAGCCCCCACTCATCCTCCCAAAAGCAATGAGAGGGAACTTCAAGGGTGAGGTCTGGCTCTGAACTGGGCCCTCATTAGACCCTGCCACTTAATCATTTATTCTGGAATCTAGGGCATGTTGTGTGTCCTATTTGAGCCTTTCCTCATCTCCAAAGCGGGCTTCCATCTTCGCTGCCAGGCACAGGGGCTGCGAAGAGCACAGGGGGTGAGGAGCTCCGCCAAGAGGGAGGTGCAGAGCTGCGGGCAGGGGCTGGGAGGAGGAGAAAGAAGCCAGGCTGCCTGGCCTCTCAGCACTCACCTCATAGCCGCGTGTCTTGGCTCGGCACCAGTCCAGCAACATCTGCTTGATGCTGTTAGCGTTGGGGACTCCGAAGCTGGTGGAGCGCTGCACCGCTGCGCGCGGCCCCCCAGGGCTGCTGTAGGGGCGCGTCGGGGCCGCGTCACACGACCGCAGGGGGCGCTGCCTCCGCCGGCCCCCGCCCAGCCGGCCCCAGACTCCGCCTTCCCGGTCCTTCAGGCCTCGGCCAGCACAGCTCCCACCGCAGCGTCCCGCTTCTGGCCCCGCCCCGCGCTGTGACTAGGCCCCACCCCGCCCCGCCCCCTGCCACTCACCCCGCCGCGCCTTCCTTCTCCAGCTTCTCAATCATGGCTTTGCGCGCCTGTGAGGCTGAGGTCTTGGGCAGGCTCTGCGCCTTCATCAGCTCTTTCTTCTTCTCCGCCTGGCGTTTCTCGAGTGCCGCCAGGCTGCCGGGCCGTGGGCTGGCCTCATCCTCGCGGTCAAAGATACTGAGGGGTCGGGAGGCGACTGTTTGGGTGCTCTTGAGCCTCGACCCCCACTCGCCAAGGGAGGGGTCTTGTGCCCCAGACTCCGCATACACCCTGCGGTATATCCATGACCCGCAATGCTCGCCAGCAGGGAAGATGTCCATATCATACCCATTTTATAGAGTAGACTGAGGCTCAAAGGACAAGAAGGTGGGAGCCACTCTTTTCAACGAATTTGGCCCTTGGGGAGTTCTCTGAGAAGCCTCACTATGATCGAGTTACAGGTGAGTTCAGATTCTGGGTGCTATCAACTAATAATGCCCACCAGCATGATCTTAATGATGGCAATAATAACAGCTCATGTCTATTGAGCCTTTCCTATGTGCCATTTTAAACCTCACAAGGGAAAGGAGGGACCCTTATAGTTTCCACTAAATATGAGGAAACAGGCCCCTCTGAGGAAATCAGGCCTCAGATTTCAGAGGGCATGGGAGGGCAATGCAAGAACTTGAACACAGGTCTTTCTGATGCAAAGGTCTTGGACTCCTCTGGTTCCCAGCCTCAATTCTGATCCAACAGCCCTGATACACTCTGTATGATAGAGGTCCTCCCTCTATCATAAGAATAAGGTGCAAAAGTGTTCTGTGACATGGGACATGGTCTGCAGATACTGGGAAGTGGCAGTGCCACCAGGCAGCTCAGTGGCAGGCAGGCCTCTCTAAGGGCTCAATGCTATCGCTGCCACTCAGACTGTGAGATCCTGAGCAACTCTCTGGCCTCCCCAGTGGTGTGGCTGAGGATTAGGTGAGATCGCAAGAGGAGCAGGAGAGGTCTGACTCCTACTCTGACTGTCCCTGCCTGTATGCCTGTCACCTTCCCAGCACCCTGGTCTACCCTTCTGTAGAATGGGTGTGCAGTGGGGTCCCAGTGCCACTGACTCCTCTGTGGTCTGGGGATGGGTACCTGTGCTCACCTGCCCATCTTCTTGGATGACGACGAGGAAAAGGTCTTGGTTTGCACCATGGTGCTGCCGCCACCGTCTACAAGAAAGGGGAAGTGGAGCAGGGTGAAGGCTTAGGCTGGACATCAGGAGATAGGGTGTGGGGGGTTTAGGGCAAAAGGTGGTAGCCACAGGCAGAGAAGAGACAGTGACTGCTGGACAGAGAGACACACAGATGAAGGTACGGAGAGAGAGCTTGAGGAAGAGTGTGAGGAGGTAGGCAGGCAGGCACAGCGTGACAGCAGGCAGCCTTACTCTCCGAGCGCCTCACAAAACTTGACTCCACTGTGGTGGTGCGGGCCGTCCTCGTGCCATCATCTGGAAGGGCCAGGGGGTGAGAGGAAGAATGTGAGGCATGGGGCTGGTGGGGTGACTATATTCCCACCTGGAGCCCTTCCTGCTTGATCACTTACTAGAGTGGACGAGCCGCTCAGTCTTGGTGACAGTGCTGACAGCTGAGCCGTCGGCTGCCCGCTGGCTGTGCTGCGTGGTGGTCTCTGTGGCTGTGTTGCCACGGCCCTCCCCTGGCCGGGCCCGTGCCTCTTGCAGCCGCCGTTCCCGTTCCTTGTCCCGCTGGTCTGGGCGGGGGGATGCCCCATGCATGCCCAGAAGGGCCACCCATCACCCACACAGCACATATGCACGGGCACACAGGGCACACAAGATGGGGTGGAGGGCAACTTGTTAGAAATACTGAAGACACAGGGGACAAGGGCCCTTTTTAGAAGTAGCTGAGGGGGAGCGGGTAGCTGTCACTTGGAAGAGGTGGTGGGGTATGGTGTGTGGCAATGGACTCACGGAAATGGACAAGAGAATATGGAATAGCTGAACTCAAAGGGGGGAGCATTTGAATCCAAGAAGGGAGTTTCTATGGGAATGAGGAGCTTATTAAAGAGGGAATAGGCAGATCTAGGGAGGAAGTAGCAGAGTTCAGGGAAGGAGAAGCTGAGTGAGGCTAGTTGCTGCGTGGGCCTTTAAATGGGTCTTAGGTGGGAGAAGAGTAGCTAGAGGAGGAAATATCTAGATCCAAGGAGGGAGGAATTGGAGGTATGTGAGAAGTAATTTAATCCAGGGAAAGAGTAGCTGGGAGAGAAGCTGGCAATGAGGCCTAAGGAAGTAGGTGGGTGGGCACAGGGGCTAGGTGATCCTCGGTGGTGCCTGGAGGGAGCAGTCAGATTCAGAGAGTATCTGAAGCAGCAAATGAATCTAGAATCTGAGGGAAAGAATAGCTGGGTCCAAGAAGGAGCTGTGCTCACGGAAGGGGAAGCTGGTTGGGAGCAGGGGGCAGAGGCAGTGGTTATCATCAGTGGATCTCAAGGAGAGAAAAGCAGCTGGGGGAAGGAGTATTGGATTCAGGGAAGGAGTAGTTGGCAGTACGTAGGGAAGCAATGGGATCCAAGGAGGAGTAGGTAGGAGTAGGAGTAACTAGGTCTGGGAAGGAGATGAAAAGCTGGTTGGGGATGGTATAACTAGGGTGGCCAGGGGGAAAGAAGGGGCCAGGGAAGAGAGAAGCCAGATCCATCTGGGACTAGAAAAGAAGCTGGGTAGGGCAGTTACTGAACTGGAGTGCCCATGAGTGGACCCCAGAGTAAGGGGAACAGATGGGAAATGGGGCAGCTGGATCTGGAGTGGGGCAAGTGGCTCTCTACCTCTCTTCTTTTGTCGGAGCTCACGTAGTGCAGCCCGGATTAGCTTCCGTTCCTCAAAGTCTGTAGTCTGATCCAGCTGCAGATAGAGCCCCTGTCATTACCCACCTGGTCCCTGCCCCCTGGCCACCCCTAGTCCACCAGATCTGGCCATACCATCTTGTCCAGGATGCTTTCATCCTCAATGGCCATCAGCTCCTCAGTGCTTAGGGGGCTCCGCCTCTCTGGTGCTTTGTCCACTCGGGTTTGCTCGGCGCCATTAGCCACTTCCACTGCCGCAGAGGGGGGCCCTGCTGGCTCTGGCTCCATCTGCAGGATAGGGAGAGGGCATGGGCTTTAAGGAGGGGTATAGATGAAACCAAGCATGCCCCCAGCAGACAGGGAACTGGGCTCTGGGTCTGCGGGTATAGCCTGGAAATAACCACTAACCGGTTAGACTGCCCATGCAAGGATGGTCATATTGTTGTCAGATTCAGGGAAGAGGTACTGACAGCCTTGCTGTAGGGCTTCCCATCTACCTGGAATTGTGCTAATACAATTAGTGGTGCCAATACTGGTCATTTGAATTTGGTAGTAAGCACTGTATAAATGGTTGGGATTTTGCTGTCCCCGTGGAACATAAAGGAAAACTGAGGCTCAGGGTAGCTGTATAACTTGCCCACAGTCATTCTATAAGTGTGATGTAGCTTGAGGTCTGAGCTGAAGGTAGCTTAACTCTTGAACCTGAGTTCTTTCTGCTGCTTCATTCCCAGCCCCCTCCCAGGCAGGCTGTGCTCCATCCTGGCAGTTCCCAAGGTCTGGGTCCTCCTGGGCCAATGTCCAGGCAGCACATGCCACACACACACACACACACACACACACACACACCCCAAAGGGGCTGGACCAGGGCCCTTGGGCTCCTGACCAGGTGTCTGACTGGGATTGCCCAGAGCCAAGTCCTCTCCAAAGCCTGCCCCTATTCCCTGCTCCCTCTAAGGGGCCTTCAGCCCCAACCCAGCACCCTTCCCCACCAGGCCATCTTCCAACAACTTGTGGACGAGCCCCCAGCCCAATTATCACAGCCCCTCCCCTCTTGGCAGGGCCTCTCTATCTGCTGTGAGGGTAAGGAGAGCTGAAGTGGCAGCTGCTTTAGGGTGACTCAGCCCAGCTGAGGCAGAGTAGCAGTGGGGGTTGGGGGCTGGGCCCTGACCAGGGGCTGCTAGGGCAGCCACCACGCATGCCTCAGGGCCAGGAGCCTGGCACCCTTTCGCCTGAGTGTTGGAGCACCAGCATCCCAGTCCCTCTGCTGATAGGTAAACTGAGACCAAGAGAAGGTAGCGGCACACCTAAGGCCCCTCAGCAGAGGCAGAATCTGCTCAAAACCACCCGCTCTCCCCAGCCCGTAGGGACTTACGAGACTGCTGCTGTGGGCAGGGCCGGCAGAGGAGCGACGGCGGGTGCTGAAGGCAGGCGGGTGGGCCACGGGGGTCCCAGCATCCTCAGCCGCCTGGAAGAGGGCCTCGGGGTCGGCAGCAGCCAAGAGCAGCTCACTGGGCTCCAGCTCAGATTCAAGGTCAGGCGCAAGTGGGACCCCCAGCCGCAGACTCAGCACCTCCACCTGCCTGCCCAGCGCATCCAGCCGCCGGCTCAGTGCTGCCGTCTCCACCCGCAGCTCTTCAGCTGCCCGGGCCACTGGCTCCATGGCTGAGGCAGCTGCCTCAGCTGCCTGGGTCACTGCCGCCCGGCCTGCCTCGGCCACTGCCCGCAGCTCCTCCAATGCCAAGCCCAGTCTCTCCTCAAGGGCTGCAGCCAGCTCAGACCCAGGCCCCGGTACCCCCGGCATGGTGATGGCAGGGGCTCTATGATGGGGTGACGATGGGGACAGTGGTAGGGACAGTTGCCTCTGGCTGGCAGTGTCAGAGTCTTTGCAGCTGGCCTGAGGGCGCAGGCAAGGGCAGTGGGCCTGCCCCGCCCCTGTTGGCCTCCCGGCCTCCCAGCCTGCCACCCGCCAGCTGGGGCTGTGGCCCAAATAGAAACCTATTCTGGGCTCCCTGTGGAGGGGGCTGTGGGGGATGGGTGGCCTGCCCAAACAGGCAGACCGCCAGGCCTGGCCCTGGCCCTGCAGAGATCACAGACTGGCAGCACAGCAAAGCTGCACGGGTTCTGAAGGACTGCCTAGGCCACAGCCCCAGGCCCCACAGATGAGGAAACCGAGGCATGGAGTGTGGAATGGGCCTCCCTGGGCCACCATTTACATTAGCTGTGAGGATCCAGTCTGCCAGACTCCAGAGCCTGCACGCCTTTGCCTTTAGGCCATGTGGTTTTAGAAAGCCTTGAACAAATGGGAGAAATGGAGGCACAGAGAGACGGGACTTTGAGCAATCTGCTATAACAAGTGTCTCGTCCCTGACATAAACATCCTCTGGCCTGCCTGTGGCCCTTGGATCCAACCACAGATTTTGAGCACATTTTAGGCACTTTTCTGCTTCCCCTTGATTTTAGATGGGGAAACTGAGGTGAGTCGGTGGTATGAGATGCAGGGCTCACTGTCACACCTCCCACCCACACCCCATGGCCACCTCTGCCACCATCCCCTCACCCCCTTGGCAGAGAGCACTTAGGTCCTGCTCTGTGGGGGAAAGGGTGCTTTCTCGCCCCCACCCTCTCCTGTCACCCCAGAGAAGGCCCAAAGCTGGCTCTAGCCATCTCACCTCAACCAAAGTCCTATTCAGTCCCCAGTGCAGCCCAGAGGACATTACCTGGGCAGCCGGACAGCCCACTGGGGATCCCTTCCCCAGCTGAGCTCCCAGCCAGCTGATCCTAGGCTCGGGAATGAATAATGGAAGGGTGCAGGGTATTCAGTTCCCGTGGCACCTGCTAGGCTGTTGCCTCACCTGACTAGGCACCCCCTGCCTGTCCCCCCATCGATGCTTCTGCCCAACCTCCCCAGAGATGTTGACGCAGATGGTAATCACTAATCTCAATCTCCTAAGAGGCCAGGCTGATCTTGGATGAACAGATCAGCAGCTTTGCTTCTTGGGGCTGAGTTCCACTGTGGAGTAGGAGCAGGAGCACTGGGGTTGCCACAGGAAGAGGGAGCAAGCCCTCACCATCCTCTCTGAGCTTCCATCTTCCCATCTATTCATTAAGAACGAACCAACCAATTCTGTAGTAAGGACCAGAGATCAGCATGTGGGAAGCCTGAAGCCAGTACAGAGTAAGCTTCCAACATACCTAGTGGCTGATCCACTAGGGTCTGCCCTTAGTTCTGCCACCAACTGGCACCACCACCTTCTCTCTCTGGGCCTCAGTTTCCCTGTGTGTGCAATGGAGGAGGAGCAGAGCAGAGAAGCCCTGCTAGCCCTACATCCTGAAGCAGTCTACAGAAGATTAATGGACGGTGAGGCTGGCGGGGGAGTAAGGGGGCTCACCTTAATGCTGCAGCCTCTCCGGCTACCAGGGGAAGCATGGCTGAAGCTGGTGACATGAGTGACGCTACCCAGCTGGGCCAGGGTCGCAGGGCTGCTGATATGGGTGATGGTGCTCTTGCCCCCACTGCTGGTGCTCAGGAGGGTGGGAGGCGCCCGTAGCCCCAGCGTCAGTTCTGGAGGGGGAGAAGGGCTACTGTCAGATCTGCTGCGGTGAGGGCAATGCCAGCCAAGGTTAATGGTGCCCCCTGCTCCCAGCACACCCTCTTCAGAGGCACCCTGAATCCACTTGTCCTATGTACAGAGCTAGGTGGCTGGCTGCAGGCACTCATCCCCAGCAGTGGGGAGACAGCAGGGAGGCCTACCTGCCCTCTGGTTGCCTGTGGGCAGCAGCACTCGGCTTGTGGATGCCTGGCCACGGCCATCCTTGATCTCGATGGTGAATGTGGTCTTCATACTGGCCCCTGGCTCAGCAGTGCCGGCAGGCATGGGAAGCAGGGCACTGGGCTCCTCTGAGAGGGCCCCAGGCCCCCCTGCTCTGTTTTCAAGGGACCTGGCAGCCAAGCCCCGCCCCCTGGGGCCCTCCTCCCGGGGGCAGCTCTGAAGCTGGGCCAGGGGCCTGGCTGTTCCCCGTGGCTCCTTGCTGATTCGGGAGGAGGTGTCACTGGGGGCCCGTGAGGAGGAGCCTTTGGAAGAGGCAGGGGTAGTGCTGATGTGGGAGGGGCCCAGGAGTCTTGTGGGGGTTGAGGCACCCAGGGCCAACCGGGGTGGGCCATCCTGGAGCCCAGCAGCCATAGGAGAATCAGATGTGAACTTGCGCACACGATCCCGCACAGAGCCAGCCCGCTGGAATAGGGAAGGTCCGCTGGCAGGGTTGGGGGGCTCTGGAAAGGATAGGAGGGTTATCAGTGACTTGGTGGGACAGGTGCTGCCCCGAGTCTGCAGTAGTGAGAATAGGAGGTACCTTGGTTCTGGGCTGGCTGGCGGGGGCTGAGCACAGACAGGGAGCGTTGGCAGGGACGGGGTCCGGCCAGGTCTGGCAGTTTGGAGAAATGGTGGTGGCCAAGTGGGGGAAGATAAAGGAGAGTGGATATGGGGGTTCCACCTCTCACAGTTCTCTCGTCCACACCTTCCAGGCCCTTCCTGTACTCCAGCCTCCCCATCCTGTTTTATACCTCTTTAGCTCTTTGCCTCCCCACTCAACTGTATCTCTCTTATAGACTCCTCCTCCTCCTCCTCCTGCACTGACCTTAGGATGACTTGGACACTCCTGGGGGCTGTGGCTAGGCTTGGGCTGGAGGAAGGGTGCCCAGATCTTCCCTGTTGATGGGGATGGGGGACACCCCCCCTGGCCAGCACTGCCCATGGCCTCAGCTTGAGATGGGTGCGCTCCCTTATTGGGGAAAAGAATGTGCCTGAGGCCCGTTGCCTTTCAAGGCTGCAGGGAGGCCTCTGCCCATGGGTGGGGGGGCGGGGCAGGAGGGGTGGGGATACTTCAGGGCAGTGGGAGGAGTGTCAGGGACTGCCTAGCCTTGAAGAAGCTGAAGCTATCTAGGCACTAAAGCCCATTTTCCAGACAGGGAAGGAGAGGCCTGTAGCTACCCCTCCTAGGACCCTCACCTGCTCTCTTTGTGTTGGAGGGATCTTTGGTGGGGCCTTGGACAGCTGGGGGCTCTGTGGGGCCAGGCAGGAGCTGCAGGGGAGACAGAGCATTGGCAGGGCCTGACTCCCAAACCAAGGAGTTCACCTGCCTGGCATCCCTGTCCCTTATCCAGACTCACCTTGCTGACCACCTGCCTCTCAGTGCTGGGGGTGGCTGGCGGTTCCTGGGGCTCAGGGCTGGTGGCCCTGGGTGGGCTGGAGGGTGGCTCGGGGCTGCCCACAGCCTCAGCAGCAGGACACTGGGCCTCAGCAGGCTCTAGTGGAGGCTCAGGAGAAGCAGTGGTGGGTGAACTGACAGGTGAGGCAGGTAAGCTGGGTGTGCCCTCAGGTGGGGCCCGCAGCAGGAGTGTCACTGTGGTCACATCCCGGCTGGTGCCCTGAGGGGTTGGGGTTGGCTCTGGGACCTCTGTGTGCTGCTCCTGTTTCTCTTGCTCTGGCACCTGTGGGTGACCCACAGGATGCAGCAATGGCTCCCAAGGCTGGCAGGTGCCCAGGGCAGGGCATGCAAAGCAGAGGGGCTAGGCATAGCTTCCTGTGGGCACACCTGTTTATGCATGAACACTGGCACACCATGGGCGGTCTCTGATTCTCACTTCCCAACCTCCTGGCAATGTCTAGTCAAGGGTGGTTCAGAGAGGACCAGATCCTATGTCAGGGGTTGGGGATGACAGGAGACCTGCTGGCGATTCCTGATCTTAATATATCCCTGGAACAGAGGCCCCTGACTCCTGATCTAGCCAGGTTAATCAGAGGGTGTGTATGTGGGGGTAGTCCTTCAGGGACTGGGACCCAGCGGCCTCTCCTGGCCACTTAGGGAATCTACATGGCTTGATCTCATCCACAGCCCCTGGAGAATAGTCAACTCTGTGAACAGTGCTCCACGAGTCAGGTGGGGTGCAATACGTAAGTCCTGATAAGCCAAAGTATGGCTGTGGGCTGTCTGGACAGGGAGGGACAGCTTCAGGATGGGTGTAAGCTGGAGAGGTACCAGGGTCAGTTTTGCATTTCAGGGAGATTGCATTGGCTATTGAATGGAGGCTGGATGGCCATGGCAGGTAAGAGGTAGGCACAGAAGTAGGGAGACCAGCAGGGTGGTAATGGGAGACATACTCAGGAGTAGGATAGACAGAGTAGCTTTGAGGGGAAGGCCTGGGTAGATGCAAAGTCTGGATTGGGGGACATCTGGCCAGAAGTCCCCCAGACACCCCCCACCTCCAGTCAAGTACCAGTCTAGCAAAGACACACAGGTGCTCTTTGCTGCTGGCATCTGTGGACACAGGATACTGGGCTACCCTCCCATCCTGCTCACATCCCTTACCTCACACTGTTCCAGCCTGTGTGCTGCCCGCCCCTTGCTCTCCTCTCTTGAGCCACTGTTGGGACGCCCGCTGCACAACCTCCCAGCCAATGTGGCAGCTGGAAGGGAAGGAGAAAATGTCAGCTGAGTGGCTGGGAGGTGCTGTGGGTAGCATGTAGCAAGGCACAGGGTGGGCCAGGTAGGGCACATACCCTCAATCTCCTGGGCCCTTATGCGGCGGATTGCAGCTCGGATCAGCTTGCGTTCTTCATACTCACCGGCACCTCGCAGCTGTGGATGAGAAGCAGGCCACAGGGCTGGATTGTGGAGTCCAGGGCTTTACCTGCCCTGCCCCGGCCTCTGCTCCAGCCCCTGCCGTGGCCTGGGCCTCACCAGTGCAGTCAGCTCTTCGACATCATTCATGGACTCCAGCCGCCCTGCCAGCCGCGCCAGAGCAGCTCGCTGCTCTGCCTCCTGCTGCTGAGAGCTGCAGGGACATCATGATTATAACCCCCACTGCCATAGCCAAATCTTGGAGGATGTGGGCTGAGGGTAGGGGCCAGGACAAGGTACCCAGAACTTTGGCAGAGGGGCAGGTAGCTGTGCACACCCTCTGGCTACATGCTGGCCCACGCATGCCCATGTTACATGAGCACAGGCTCAGCTGTGCTATCTACATGGGTGTGTCTGGGACTCCATGCCTGGCGAGTGGTCCAGGCCCGTAAACATCCCTGTGCATTCCAGATCCTGCCGGTACTGCCATTTGCATGCCCAGATGGGCAGCAGACACACCTGTGCCTGCACAACACAAGCTGAGCCTTGATACATACTCCTCCCACCTATCTGACCAGTCCCCTGGCCACTCACTGCAGCCAGTTCTCCTTGTTGTCCTGCCGCTCGGCACGGAAGCGCTTGGATGCCAGGGCCTCCTCCTCACGCTGTAGCTCCTGCCGCTGCAACTCCCGGATGGCTGAGCGGATGCGCCGCCTCTCTGCCAGATCCGCTGTGACCTCCAACTGTGGGGCAGGCGGGGGTGAGGGGCAAGTCATTTTGGCTGCCGGGGTGGAGGGCGGGCACCAGCTGCCCACAGCTTGGCCTGGGCCACAATGAGTGGTCTGTCTCTACTCTCTCTGCCACATGCCTGTCACAAGCCTGCCCTACCACCCACCCAAGGGTCTCAGGGAGACTGGGCTCAAGGAACCAGAGCTTCTGGACAGCCCACTGTGCACTATGGTTTACAGGATGGGCAACCAGCAACTGCCCACCTGTGCCAGTTGCCAAGCCAGGCACTGCTTCCTGAGATTTGACTCCTGTCTGAGTCCTTCATCAAACCCCCAAGAGCCTGGGAGTCAGGAGGAAGGAGGTCACCCTATGGGCTCCTAACAGTGTCCCTGGGTAGGAAAGGGTGATTAGGGCAGCTGGAATCCACCCTGTGAGAGAGGAAGCCATGTTCTGGTCCCAAAGCACTATAGCCTTGCTGGGGGTGGCAGCCTCATCCACATTGGACTGATGGGAAAACTGAGGCAGGGGCACCTGCCCAGGAGTCCTAGTTTCTTGCCTGGCTAGGGGCTGTTTTCCTCTATACTGACCCAGTCCTAACCACTATCAAAGGGGCCAGGGCTGAGAATAGGAGGGTCAGTTCCCCAGACAGATAACACAACTGTACTAGGGTCTACCCAGGGCTCCAGAGAGGGCATCAATGGGGAACAGGTGCTCCCACCGGTTTCTTAGTTCCTCAATCCCTGGGAAGTTGGGGGTAGCTGGTCTAACTAGGTTCAGGAAAGGACACCTTCTCTGGGTAGAGTCAGCTAATTCTTTTTTTTTTTTTTTAAGATTTTATTTATTTATTCATGAGAGACACACAGAGAGGCAGAGACATAGGCAGAGGGAGATGCAGGCTCCCTATGGGGAGCCCAATGCGGGACTCGATCCCAGGACCCAGGGATCACGGCCTGAACCAAAGGCAGATGCTCAACCACTGAGCCACCCACGCATCCCAAGATTCAGCTAACTCTATTGCCTTCCCTGCACCTCTCCTCCCTACGGTCTCTGTGGCTCAAGAGAGAGAGGCCTGGCTTGGGGAAATCATTCAGGGATAGGGTCCAGGAAACTTCTACCTCCTTTAAGCCTCCTCCCCGATCATTCCTTCCTACTCCCAGATGGGGGACCACATGGTGGTGAGGATAGGTTTCAGCAGGGTGTATGGGCTGGCCCCACTCTGCCTTTCGGTCACTTGTCCTAGTCTGAATAGAGTAGAGAGAGCTCTGGGGGACAGATCCCTCCATGGTTCCTTCAGGCTCCACATTTCTGAGGAGCTATGGGAGCATCCCTTGAGGCTCAGGTCAAACTCTCAGCTTGCTCCAGCCTCAGTCCATTCCTGGCTGGGTAGTCAGGAGCATGTCCTTAACCTCTCTGTGTCCTGGTTTTCTCATCTGCCAAATGGAACAATGGCTCCTACCTCAGGGCAGTGGGTGAGGGTGGGGGCAGTGACTTGCGATCCCCTGGCATAGCTATGCATGCAGTAAATGTCACCCCCTCCTTGTTTCCAGCCACTCAGGAGGGGGTAAAAAAGCAAGGGCAAGTGAGTACAAGATATGAGGCATCAGTGACATTTATCAAGAACCTATATGACAAATCTTGCACTGAGCCCCCAGTTTGTCCTCATCTCACAGAAACCCTAGGTACTTTATTACTCCTATTTGACAGATGAGAAAACTGTTGGCGCGAGGGGCAGAAGTCTTTTGTTCACAGCCAAATGCACTGAGTCAGGATTTGAACCCAGGTCTCTCTGACTCCAGGGTCTCCCTTGAGTTGAAAATAGCTCTGGTGCTGGGGTCTGTCTGCCATGGTGGGTACCTCAAGGACCTGGGCACCACTGTGTAAGGAGCCCTCTCGCCTGGACTAGAGAGAACTGTAATGGCCAAAGGGGGCCTATTAGAGCAGCAGGAGGGAGAATGAGGCTCCTCTTCTCACCCCCAGTCCTGGCCTCAGGCCTAGAGCCCTCTGTGGTACACTTGGAGATGGTAGGTCTGAGGGTCAACTGGCTCAGTCCCCCTGGACAGGAGGGTAAAGAGGCTAAAGGATGCAACGACTAGCCAGCTGCCTCCTGGGTATCCCTTCTCAATGCCCTCCGTTGCGGAGATGAGGTTTTCGTCCCTGAAAATAGCCTGATGTGGAAACTTGGCTACCACTGTCCCCCTCTGGAAAATAGGATCTTCTGTCCGATCCCCCCACCAAATGAGTGGGGTGGGGCTGGGGGGGAGGACAACCTCATTCCACTGGCCAACCCCCAGCATGACCCTTCCCTTAGAGCCTGGATACTGTCTGCCCACAGTATCCCTGCTGTGTGGCCTATGTTCCCGCCCTCTCAGGCCCCCCTGTTGTGTGTGGAGGTGGCTGTGGGAGGGAGGGAAGGAAGCATAAAGCGCCATTGTCTACCAGAAGGAAGGGGAAGGGGATAGGGCGGTTTCCGAAACTGCCCAGTGAAATTCTCCCGGGAGGAAAGAGGGCACTTCCTCCTCCCGGGGGGCCGGGTCTCGGGGCCTTTCTGCCCTCGCTGTTGGGGAGTGGGGGGCGGGGCGTGACGGCCCCCGGCCTCTCTCTGGGTCTCAGTCTCCCCCTCAGCACAGCGCAGAAGACCTGCCAGACCTCCGCAGTCCGGGCTCCTGCAGCCACCCTGGAGGACCGGCCGCCGAGCGAGGCCTCGCCAGGGGGCGCTGACCGCCCGCAGGTTCCGGAACCGCCGCCCGGCGCCCGCCCACCCCCGCCTCCCCGGGCCGCCCGAGCTAGGCGCCCGGTGGGGAGCCCGGCTGCGAGCCAGACGGGAAGCCCCCCACCCCACCTCGGCCACCGCCTGCTTTAAGGTCTCTGGTCACGGGGAGGAAATCGAAGTTCCTAGCACCTAAGCAGTTCCCGAGGTCACGCGGCCAGGGCGCGCCGGAGGTCAAACTCGAACCCAGGACCGAGGCGGAAGGCGGCGCGCCCGCCCCCACGTGCCCCCGTCCCGCGCTGGCACCCCGCCCGGCCCTCAGGAATGTGCGGGAGCGGCGGCGGAAGCGGCTGCCCGGTCCCCGAATCGGCCCGGGGCTGGGGCGCCCGCCAGCTTTCCCTTATAAGGCCCGGCCCCGCGGGGAGGAGCCCGGCTGGGGACGCCCGGTTGTTGCCACGAGGCCGGCGGGGGCCAGACCGGCCCTGGGGCGGGGACCCTCACGGGGCCCGGGCGAGGCAATGGCGGGCGCCGGCCGTGAGGCAGACGGCGGGCGGCTTCGCGGTCCGACACGAGGGGCCGCGTCTACTTAGTCCTCTCCCAGGGGCGGGGCCGGCCGGGGCGGGGCGGACGGCTGCTCCCGCTGTGGCTTCTCTGAAATTCCACGTGGGGGTGGGGGGTGGCGACTTGGGAACCCAGGGCCTCACAGCGGACCCCTGCAGATGGGGGTGCGCGGAGACTTGGTTTTCTTTCTGGAAAACTCTGCCTCTACTATCCCCGGCTGACTTCCCGCAAAGAGGTTGAGCTGACGTGGTGGGAACTTGTGGGAAACCAGTCGGGCACACAGCCCGCGCCGGCGGTGGCTGACACCCTAGAGTCTAGGCTCAGGGCCGGCCTAAGGGTCTGGTCCGAGGCCACACAGGCTGACCCCTTGGGTAGGTCGTGTCAGCGCTGGCCAACTGCCCAGTGACCCCTGCCTCCAGAAGAATGGTATGGGGGTGGGTTGATCACTCGCCTTCTCCTAGGGAAGGTAAATCTTTAACCCCCCCCCCACACACACACACTGCCCACCCTCACAAAGGTCAAGGGCGGGGTGGGGGGGCGGGGCTCTGGCCCCTCCTGCAGTTCCGAAGCTCCCTGCCCTTGATAGTGGGCACAGACCTGGCCCGTTGTGTTTGCCCTACAGCCCTTCTGTGCATGGGGATGGGTGGGCTACGGTTAGGGCGCTCAAGAAGCTGGGAAGAGAATGAGACTATCCTTATTCCATCCTAAGATCTGGGTCCATGCCTCATCCTATCCCCATGCCAACTCTAAGACCTAGATAAATGTTTGCACAGATTTCCCCCTTCCATTTTATAGGTAAAGAAACTGAGGCTCAGAGAGGTAAAATGACACACTAGAAGTCACAGAGCTTATAAGGGCCTTTCTCTTTATGGGCTCTTCTGGTTTTGGGTAAGTACCCAAGACTTGGTCCCCCATGACCCTCATTGGGGTTTTTTTTTTGGATCCTGGCACACCCTCTTTGGGTGCCCTTGGGGAGGTGATTTCACCCCTCTGAGCCATAATGCCCTCCTGGCTTTTGGAGCTGCTGCTGTGGTCACAGCCTCTGTGAGATGGTCTAGCACCAAACCTGACCTCTGCTGTGCCCTGGCATTTTTTAAAAAGATTTATTTATTTATTTATTTATTTATTTATTTATTTGAGAGAGAGTGTGTGGGAGCAGGGGGAGGGACAGAGGAAGAGAGAGAGAATTCTCACACAGACTTCCAGTGAGTGAGGAGCCAGACATGGGGCTCAATCCCAGGACCCTGAAATCACAACCTGGGCTGAAACCAAGAGTCTGAGCCACCCAGGCACCCCCTTTTCCCCCAGCATTTTTTATCACTGCTTTACTATATCATTGGGCCAGCTTCCAGGGGCAGGCACTGCCCAGGCTATTGCTTGGGTGAGCAAATCCAGCCTCCCCACACCTGTAGTTGCACATGGGTGAGTCCTCAGGAGTTACTGTTTAAACAGGTGGTGGCAGTGGGGGGCTGGGAGGGACCAGGCCTTAGCACCTGGCATGGATAGGCACATGCTACTGGGTCCTCTGCATCAGCCATGCATAACAGGCTTAGTCCTGTTCCCATGGGCCCTCCCCCTGCCCCTTCCTCCCACCCCTCCTCTTGTCAGCTTAGAGGTAGCCTGGACAGGCCCTGCCTCTGACCTGGCTTGCCTGTCATCACAGTGGGGATGATTGGGCCACTTACCAGCTTTCGCAGGGCTCCCTCATCCAGTCCGGCTAAGGCCTCATCCGCCATCTTGCTGGCCCCTAGCTCTGTCCGTCCCCTCCTGGTGAGATCCCCAGTGCCCGTGGCACCTGACACCAGCTCAGGGAATTCTGCAGAGGACAGACATGAATCAGGCCTGCTGGGGCCTCTGGAAACCACAGACACTTGGGCTCTGTGCCTCAGTTTCCCTCTGTAACCCATGATCATCTGTTGGGTGTCTCATCCTTGCTACCTGATTAAATCCTGGCTGGGAATTGCCCTCTGCCCGAGGCTGGTATATTAAAAATTTAACAAACCAAGGGTGGAAGTCCCTAGTTCCAGCCCAGCCAACCTGATGCCAGCTGTGTGGTCAAAACTGGGCCTATCTTAAGCATCAAACCGCGAGAGCAGAGACCTGGATTAAGAAGGCCCACCAGGCTGTTCTCACCACCAGGGGGTGCCCGCCAGACTCCAGTTTCCTGCCCCACCCACCTATCCTCAGGACTTGCCCAGCCCCCTCCCTGACCAAAAGCTTGGTCTCTGGCTGTGGGCTTCACCTATATCCAAATCCTAGCTGTCGTTACCCCTCATTTCTCCAGGTGATCTAATCCATCGGAGGTAACATCCTGTCTTCCACTTCTTCAGGGCAGTTCTCAATATACACTACTCTCTCCTCCTCTTCCTGCCCTCGCCCTGATGCCAATTGTCCAAACCTCATGAAGCCAGGTGTCCAGGTACCCAGCTCCTCCCAACAATTTACACACTTAGAATTGAACTCCCTAGATAGAATGGCCTTCAGAACCTGATCTGTCCAACCTCTGGATAGGCAAAGCGAGGACTGAAGAGGGCCAGGGATTTGTCACAGGGGGAAGGAGGATCCCAAAGACCCAGAGGGCAGGGCTGGATTTAATCAAAATCGTGGCCATCTCTGGCTCCTGAAGCCCCCCCTCCAAAGTGCGCCTAGGAGCTCAAGATATTCCCTCTTGCCCCATTACTGCCCATCAAAATGGTTCCCTAAATCCTGGCCCAACCTCTCAGCTCCTTCCTTCTTTCTGTAGTCCTCAGGTCTTTATGGAATTTGACGGCCTGACACACAGTTGGCGCTTAGTTAATGTATGTTGACTGAAATGCTACCCCCACCCCACATTGATTCATCCCTCAGTCATGCCTTCCCCCTCCCCAGAACAGTCACTTGTCGAGTCACCCCATCCGGTGAAGGTGTCTGATGGGGGGGGGGTCCTAATCCACACAGAGTTCTTCAGACCCTGCCTATTCAAGTGGCTGCTTGCTTTTCCCGTCCCCTTAGGCTTGGATGGGTGTAACTACCCATCTTCCCTCTGGTGGGGTCCTTGCCTCTTATCTGTCTACTTTGGGAGTAGTGCCCCCCAAGAGTGTCACTTCGTAATCACCAGACTTAGGTTCTGTGGACACTCTGAGCTCCTCCATGTCTGCTGAGGGGCAGGAGTCCCTAATGCGTAAGCCGGGACGCCCAGGGGACTATAGGAAGTATTTCTCCTTAGAGACTCCTGCCGCTGCCCCACTTCAGTTCCAGGGCTCCTTGTCACACATACAGTCTGGGGTCCCCGGGGATTGAGAGAGGCCTCAGAGGAACGTGGGACCTTCTCCAAGGTGTGTGCCCCCCACCCTGACCCCTGACCCCTAGGGGGTCGTGGAGCCTCCAGAAGGTCCATGGTATCCTTTCCCGCGGTCTAGAACCTTATCCCATGGCTTAGAGCCCCTGTGGCTGGGAGTCCCAGAACCCCTGTCCAGATATCCGGGTTCCACCCCCAGGACCCGTCGGGGGTCGCGGTGCCTCCCAGAGGCCTGCACACCCACCTCTCCGTCCGGCCCACCCGTTGGGCGCGGGCTCAGCTTAGGTCGCTCGGGATCCGACAGACAGACTGGGAGCCGTCAGGCGGAAGGCGCCGCGACCGGGATCCCAGTCCCCCTCAGCAACCGTCCCCGAGCCTCTGCAAGCGCCGCCCGTCCAGCCGCGCCGGCGGCCCCGCCAGCCCCGCCCCGCGCCGCCACACCAGCCAATTCTAGGGACGGTCCCGCCCACCCTCGTGCTCCATTGGGGAGATTCAATTTGACGGCCACGCCCCTAGGCAGGCCCCGCCCCGCGCGGGCCGAGTGGTTAGGGGCCTGTCGTCTTGGGGCTACTGCCGCCCGGACCTTGGCTGGTTGGGCGGGCGTCGGCAGGAGGACGCAGCTTTGCACCAAAGTTGGCGACGGCACCCAAAGCCGGGGTGAGTGGCCCGGGACCGTCCTACTCGCGGAGTCTTCAGAACAGCCCCTCTCCGCCCTCCTCTTTGTTCCTGAGACCTTGTCCCTTCCCCCGACTCCGCCCCCTTCTCGCGTTAGCATCTGGGCTTGGCTGCAGCCCAGCCTACGTTTGGGACACCTGGTCCTGGCCACCTCAGAGCACGGACTGTGACCAGCAGGGCGTCGACCCTATGTTGGTGCATCTCAAGCAGCATCTCAGGTGAAGCAGGATCAATCACAACAACCCTTCCCCAGTCGACACACCTTTGCACAGACATTGCCTTCATCTATCAGGCTTCTCCCTTCTGAGGCCCCTCAGGGTCCGCCTCTGGTTGCGCTGGAGTCCTTAATAGGGAATACGAAGTCCAGACACTGATTCAATAAATGGGGAAAACAGGCCCAGAGAGAGCCAACATGCCAAGACAACAGCAGGAGTCAGCCAGGGAACCCAAGAGCTCAGATCCACTGGGGAAAGCCATTGTATCTGCTGCTGGAGGCCCAGGGCCCTCCCAATCCATAGATCCAGGGTCATTGAACCCTGCCTCTTCAAGGAGGCCGGAGGTAGGATCTGGAGTCCTGTCTGCCAAATAAAAATAATACATTTATTTTGTACTTGCCATGTACCAGGTATATAATCCCTATAGCAACCGTTTGAGCACAGGGTTACTGTCCCATTTTACCGTTGAGGACAACAGCTGATAGGTAGTGGAACTGTGACTCATCCCAGCACCTTTCGAGCCCAGAATCTGCTTTTACTCACCGAGATGTGGGGTTGTGGGGAAGTGGTTTCAGCCTATTGCCCTAGCAGAGCTCTGCAGCCCTGCTGTCCAGATCTGTGACCACCCACCCACCCCACCTCACCCCCATCTAGAGAAAAGGCCCATACACTCCCAGACTCTTAAAAGGTGTCATCTTATTTCCTCCCCACATCCACTTTACACATGGGAAAACCAGGGCACAGGGAGGAAAGAGACTTGTGAAGGTCACATGGGAGGAGGAGCAAACAGAGCCCATTTGGAGGCCATGGTTTGAGGTCCCCTTCTTCTGGGTAGGCCCCATCTAGGCCCTCTCTATTTGATCTAGGTGCCATTTCTTCTCCAGAATGAGGGTGAGCACCCTCCAAGGCAATTTGGTCCTACTTCAAACCTCGTGTGGCCCTGGGAACTTCTGTTGGGGTGGGGCACACCTAGGCTACCTGGGATTCTCAAGGCCTGCCTGTGTGGAGGCTGTCAGCTCCAGTGAATGGCTTGCTTCCTGCTAACCCTGCCCCTTGGTCCCTCAGGCTGGGAGGAACTACACAGGTGTGTCTGTGCCCGAGGACTTAATATGTTGCACACGCGCTCACCAGGTCTTGGCAGTACAGAAGAGGTGTGTGGGTCCCACCCCACTGTCAAACCCTCAGAGCTGGGGTCCTCCTCCAGACCTACTGGCCTGACTCTTCCTTCCTCCCTGCCAAGGGTGGGGCAGGATGATGGTGGTGGCAAAACAAAGATCAAAGGGTAGCAAGTTGCAGTACCTGGGAAGCTTCCAGCCACAGCGCAGGAAGGAGTAAACATCCCATGAAGAGGGTCTGCCATTAACTGAGCACCTGTTGCATGTCAGACACAGGGTTTGACCTATTGCAAGTTGGACACTGGGCAAGATAAGTATTACCTGGATTTTACAGAAGCAGCAGCTTAGGGAGGTGAAGGCACTTTGGGCTGGTAATGACATTCAAACTTGAGTGGAGTTCTGCTCCATACCTAAGGTCCTTTCCTCCAGCCTGCTGCCTCTAGCATGGGGGAAATTCTGGAAGACTTTTTGGAGGAGGTGATCTGCAAACTGATCCTTGAGGAAGGGTGCAAAAAAATCTATCATACAGAGAAGATGGGGGAAAGGCATGGAAGGTATTTGTGGCAGGGGAATAGTGTGAGTAAAGGCTGGGAGGTTTGTAAGTAGAAAAAGGAGGAGAGATGGGTTGTGGATGAAGCAGGCAATGGAGATGGGGGTGGGCCCTGAATGCCAGGTGAGCAAAGTGCACATATCTTGTAGGCAATAGAGAGGCCCCAGCCTCAGTCTCTCCATCTGCAAAATGAGGGGATTGGATTGGTCTGCTTCAGGCCCTCCCAGGGCAAGGGGATATAACAGAAGGGTCTGAATTCCTCCAGGTCCAATCCTGGACTGGCAGAGTGGGGAGTGGCTAGAGCAGCTCAGAGGCCAAGGGTAATATTTTGCTCCAGTGCCTGAGTCTGAGAATAAATATTTTACCAAGCTGGCAGTGCCAGATCCCTGAATCAACCTGGCTTCCCCTCCCCCCAGCTAGGGTCCTGCAGAAGGCACGCTAGGTGACAGGTCTTAGCTGGGGCCCTGACCCAGGCAAAGTTTTGGTACTTCCAAAGTCTCAGTTTCCTTATCTGCACAATGGACGAATTATGGCCTGAGCTCCCTAAGCCCTCTCCCTAGACTACACAACATAAAATCCCAAGGCTTTCAGGGAGACCTCCCCTTGGGGTATGCTTACATGTGGCTGTGAGGCTGGCCAAGGCCAGAACCTTGGGCCTATGAAGGAGCTGGGCATGGGGACTGCTTGGCATGGGGAGGAATGGAGGGTTAAATGTGAGTCAGTTGGGCCTGCCACTGGGGTCTCACAGCCTGGTCAGAGTAGGGGGAGACACAGTATCTGGCCTTTGAAAATTGTACAGAATGAAGTCCTCACTTGCTGTTTGGCATGGTGAGGAAGGGAACAGGAAAGGCCATCTGGAGAAGAGAACAGCATGAACAAAGGAAGGGAGGTAGGACCGTTGAGGGCTTTGTTGGGGGAAAAGTCAAGCAGGTGAAGCTGGAGCAGGAGGTCCTTGAGAACTGGTCCTTGCTGGGGTTGGCAGGATCCAAGGGCTGTAACCTTCTTCCTCATGGGCAGAACTTGAGGCTCCCATGGTTCATGGCCAGCAGCCCCTGAAGCAGGACTGGGGACCTGTTTGGCAAACCAGTTTGGCAAGGCTGTCTCCTCTGTAATGTCATCCAGCTGCTGTGTTCTCTGAGCGACAGTGCTGGATAAACTTCCGGCCTTGGAGAAGGGGGCCTGGCCTTAAGTGCTGAGGGTTGGGAAAGGAGTGACTCTTCTTTGGAAACTTGGAGGCAAATGGCTTCTGGGAAGGAGAAGGAGGTTTGAGATGCCCGTGAACCCCAGGAACACATTCTCATGGAGAAAGAAGAGGATTCTGAATGGCCTGGCCTGGACCTCTTCTGACTTCTCAGGGATTGGTTCCCTGATGCCTGACATCTATCTAGGTTCATGATAGGGGCCCTGTGTACTTGTTGCTCAGTAGGTTGGAGCCTGGCACCAGACCACCCTTCTAATACAAGAGTGGCAATTTGTTATTACCAAGACCCTCACAGCTCTAGCCCTGTGAGGTAGGACCATGATTATAGAGAAGGAGACAGGCTCAGCAAGGCCAGGCCATGCCCATACCTCACACAGGACTTGAACCTGAAATCCTTTTTTTTTTTTTTAATTTTTTAAAATTTTATTTATTCATGACACACACACACAGAGAGGGAGAGACACAGGCAGAGGGAGAAGCAGGCTCCATGCAGGGAGCCCGACGTGGGACTCGATCCCCGGTTTCCAGGACCACGCCCTGGGCTGAAAGCAGCGCTAAACTGCTGGGCCACCAGGGGTGCCCTGAACCTGGAATCCTTTTTTTATTTTTTTTTTAATTTTTATTTATTTATGATAGCCATACAGAGAGAGAGAGAGAGAGAGAGGCAGAGACACAGGCAGAGGGAGAAGCAGGCTCCATGCACCGGGAGCCCGACGTGGGATTCGATCCCCGGTCTCCAGGATCGCGCCCTGGGCCAAAGGCAGGCGCTAAACCGCTGCGCCACCCAGGGTTCCTGAACCTGGAATCCTTAACTACAGTACCCCACCGTCTGCGGTTTGGGATCTGCCATCTGCCACATGGGCCCTTGTCCTATTTATTGACTATTCAGCATAGCAGCTGAATCTTGGCATCATGGAGTCCTAGGTGGCCACCTTGTGATCCAAATAGGTAATCTGAGTCCCAGAGAGGGCAAGGACCAGGCTTCAGGTCACATAGCAACTTGGAGGTGGAATACCACTCTGCAGATCCTCAGCTTCCCAAATCCCTCTTTCCCTCTTGGACGGGCACATCCAAGCATGAAATAACATTAACTGGCAGATATTGAGTGCCTCTTATGTGCCATCCACTTGTTTAATCATCACTACAGCCCTGTGAGGTAGGTGCTCAGATTATATCCGTTTGGTAAATAAAGACACTGAAGCTCAGAGAGGGAAGGTCACTGGTCCAAGTTGACACAGCATCTTGGTGGTAGGACTGGGATCTGAACCCAGGGGTGTGGCCCTTTCCCCTTGGTGGACCCACTAGTCCTTCTGAAGGCACAGAAGACCTCTAGGCAGGAGGGTGGGTGGCCCCTTTGCAGGCTCCAGAGGTGAGCAGGGTCCAGTTGGCAGTTTCCAAGCAGGCCTGGCCTCTCTGGGGTGGGTAGAAAAGTGCTGAGACTGTGGAAATGCTCTGAACCTTCCCAGAGGAGGCGGCCACGGTGGGAGGGAGTGCTCGGTGCAGACCTCAGAGCCAAGTGGAGACGTGGCGGCTGGACCCGCTGCAGGCGAGGGAGGGCAGGCCGGGTGGGGCCCAAACCCAAACCGGCCTCCGGAGCAGCTTTCCCAGCCATCCGCCCGCCAGGCCTGGCCCTGCCCACCC